GTGGCTTCACATATGGTTTTACTTCGTTAGCTCCAACTAGTTTCTTAGTGTAGGGGTCGGAATTCTCTCATATGAGATCGATATAACGACGAGATGAACTCTGCAGCATCCTGACAAAATCAGATCAAGTCTACAAGGGCCCACTCAGAATCTAGGCCAAAATGACATTAGACCCATAATCAAAATGGGCTAAATGAAATAATGGGCATAAATTAGATATATTGTTTAATGGGGCAAGCCCATTTTATTAGCTGGCCTACTTACTTAACACTATATATATCTCATTGTATTCACCCAAAAAGAGGGTTCATAACTTTTGGCAGAGAAACTCTCTTGTAATCACAGCTTAACAGAAACAGCAATAAAGAATTCTTATTMTCAGTCTTTGTTYTAAGTGAGTCCGCGACATAGAAATCTCTAATCCCCAAACACCCTTGACAAATTCAACTGTGCAGATCCGACTCCCACAGTTTGGCGCCGTCTAAGGGGACTTAGAGACTTTCTGACACAGAGGAATCACTTCGCACACTATATAGGAGAAGATGACCAGCAGCGACAACAGCAGTTGCAACAACAGCGATGACTCCTCGGCGTTACAGCCTGACAACACGGCTGCCAAGCGCAGCCAGACATGTGATAACGCTGTCAATGTCCCCGTGACGAATCTGATAGCCTTGAACGAGTTAAAAGACATGATGAAGTACTGCTCGAGAGGACAACAGATCATGAAGACAAGCTGAAGTCTCTTACAACGGCGAGCAAGGCTCGCAAGAAAATCACCAGGATCTACGGACCGCGGCGGTCACTCGGGTGGTCGGGTCGTACACCCTCAGCTTTTCAACGCCGCGCACTGCGCGAAGAACCCAGGGCGATCTACCACCACCGCCGCCACTGCGGACAGCGAATCCAACTCCGAAGCAAGCCAATGCAACAACGGGCATATGACCAGCTACTTCAGGAAGGATCGCGCAGGAACGCCAAGCTGCTTCAGGAAAGATCGTGCGGCAACGCCAAGCTGCTTCAGGTGGTATCGCGCGAACGGTCGACAAAGACTGCAACCCACGCAGGGCATGCAACATGGAGAATCTTAGCACACCTGCGGGAGAGATCGATCCCAGGCTCGTCGGAACGACGCGGACATTGAGCATGACTAGGACTTCACCGACGAAGAAAGAGGTCTACTGGAACGAACAGTCTGAGCTCGAACAAGAACGCAAGGCTCTGCTCCAAATTCATATCGACAAGATGACCAGGATGCAAGCACAACTTGAGCAAGTCGCCTCCGACTTAAGAACCACACAGTCCCAAATGCACTGGGTCAATAGCAA